CATTCCACTGTTTCAACACTTTGAAGGGGAAAAAAAAATCTGTAATCAAGACATCAGGCCTTCCTTCTGTCTGTCAGTTTTAGAATCAAACCTGTCTGTCCATCCGTCCATCCATCCATCGATTTATCTGTCTGTCCAGGCACAGTTGCTAAGTTGCATTTCAGCAAAAGGAAAAGTGGATAGGTGATAACTGTTGGATTGAGTAAAGGATATGTGTCTTTCTGTCCATTTCTGGCCAGCATTTGTCTGTGGATGCCAGAGTCTTTGAGGAAAGGTGAGCAGATGTGTCCCTGTTTGCTGGCAGATGAGTTCAGTGGAGATTAAGTTCTGGGATGCTCTAAAGTTACAAAAACTGTGTAGACAGGACTGGACTGGGTGTTACCTTACCTTTAAAGGCAAATAAGATAGATTTGCATTCTGTTCAAGAGGATTTTCTTAAACCCGAGATATCTGTGTAGCTGATGACCTGGTAGAAGTTACTCCTTTCCTCAGCTATGGCTGTATGATGACATCATTGCCTCATGGAGCCATGTTTGAGGGCAGATGTCTTTTTCGCCTAGACCAATCAGTTGTCCGTATGTTAATTACTTGGTCCTTCTAAGGAGGGTCTTGGTCTTTCTTGGCAGAATTTTGCCATTTCTTCAAACAAACTGTGCTGCCTCTGCTGGTGGGTAGCATGGAGATGGCCACCATCCACCAGGGCAGTTTAAGCGTCTGATTAGCCTGGTTGCTATGAGGACATTCTCTTACCATCGCCTGGGAGCCCAGTCTCTCTCTGTTTTGTTTCAGTTTCTCCTATTTTGATCCTTTTGTGTGATTTAGATGACTTATCTCTACATTCAAATGTCAGCTAAATGTCCCAGGTAAATAAATTAATAGTAGCCTTCAAATTAGGTCATTTTGGGCTGTGGGCAGCAGTAGTTTGAAGAAGCAGTAATGGAAGAAAGGAAAGAACAAAGAAACATGCTAAAATTGGTGTACAGTAAACCCTCAATTTAATGGACTTCGGATTTAATGGACTTCAGATTTAATGGATACAATTTCCAGTTTGTATGTTAATTTAAAAATGATTTTAACCAAGACTTGCTTATAATTAAATTAAAGGGTTTCTTTTGTTATCAATTCACTTATTTTTAACAAAATTTAGCAAATAGGCCGTATGTTGGAAAAACCACTGTAGTAATTTTGCTGCCATAAATATTACATATTTACAAGTATAGTCTACATCATTAAATCCAAGTCACCGCTCGTAAACAGTGTTGGGCGAATGATTAGCACCTGCTCACCCCGCATCGCACAAGGTGACTGGTTCTGAGAGAGGACTTTCTGCAGCAGTTTTAAGGTGTGCCAGGTGATGTTCCCACGCCCTGGCCGAGCATTTGTTTACTCACGGTGACTGGTGAATGCATGCATTTACTACACCTATTCAGTATTACATTTAAAATTACAGCAATGCATATAGAAGACTGTTCTGTGAAATTAAATTATTCATGCATATTTAATTTTTATTACACAAACCTGTACGTGAGTAAAAAAGGTAAACTAATTTGTCAAATTTTTAACATACACTTTCAAAAAACCTACTTTATTATATAATGGGCTTTCCGCTTTAATGGAACACCCCTTGCTCGAATTAGTTCATTATATTGAAGTTTTACTGTATCGTGAGTGCCAGGCACTGGACATTCTTAATTCTCAGGCAACCTTCAGGAGGTGGTATTATCTCTGTTTCTCAGATGAAAAAAAAATGAGGCTGAGTTGAATGCTGGAGTGCCAGAGCCTCTTTTCACTACACATGCTATGGCTTAAAAGTCTGGGGACGAAGATGGGCGGCTGGTCGGGAGACAGGAAGGAGGTATGCGCAGTGGGCAGGGCCCAGAGGAGCTGTGAGGGCCTAAACTAGCCGGGACTTTGCAGGATCTTTTGAGCTCTCAGGCTTAGAAGCCACCCTAGTCTCCTGGGCTGGAATATAGGCTCTGTGTCTTGATCTCATTTTAGACAAGATATCCTGGTTGAAAATAGAGCTGTTTTCTTTCTGACCAACTGAAAAAGATTATTTAACTAGCAAGATAGACTTGAAGAGTAAGGTGTGGCTGTATAAACTTGGTAGCTTGTTTTTATTTGAAGATCAATGAGAAATTGAGGCATGTTTTCATTGAGCTAATTAATGCTTTCTGAGTACACTCTGTCTGGCCTGAGGTTGGTGATATGTGTCAAAGACTTGAGCCAGGCTCTGAAGGAAGGCTGGTGAGGCTTTGACTCAGTGGGTCTCAGGAAGAGGGCCATGGTCGGTGGTAGCCCAGGTTTGGGGTGGAAGTGTAGGGAGGTTCTTGAGCAAGTGCTAAGGGCAGACTGCAATGGTTGGTTGTGATAAGAGGGGCCTCCCCTGACTTGGGCTTTAGGGAAGCTGCCAGCCTTCACTCTAGGTGAGCCGTGCTGGAGGGGCGGACTCCCATCTGTCTCTGAATGGCTGTGTGAGTCTCTCTGCTGAGCTGGTCTGCTCGTCTGTGCTACAAATCACTTCACCAGCTCCTTTGCTAATGAATGCCAACTGGGCTTCTGCTGGGGCTCAGTGGGTGTGGGAATGGATGCAGAATCCTTGTTAGGGGAAGATATTCCTCGCTCACCCCAAGTCGTCAGTATCCTTGGCAACTGGCCTTTTTCTGATTACCTGCCATTTCCTGGAGGGGAGCAAGAGGAAGGAACTTTCTTTTAAACCCAGGTTGTAGGAGGTCTAGAGCAGGGACCTGTGTTGAGGACGACTGAGTGCCTGCCAGTGTAGGGGCCAATTAGCAAAGCTCTCCCCCAGTCACCACTGCCTGTCCTGCCCTCGATCTGGAGAATGCATACGTAGGTCATTCCCACGGCACAAACAGAAACGGAAGCCCAGAGACCTCCAAACCACCTAGCTTGTTTGTGGCACATTTTGTGGCTCCCAATTAGTGAGTTTTTAACCACGGAGAAGAAATAACATTCTTCTACTGTTTTTAAGTTAACAGAAGCACTTTCTTAGGGATGGGATTTGAGTTCCACCACGGTTGTGGGATCTAGAAATTTCCTTTTTACAGATGAGGAAATGGAGGCTTAGACAAAATAACTTGCCCTAAATTATCCAGCTGGTAAGTGGCCAGGCCCTCCCATTGGGATTGCTCTGTGCCAATACTGTGGTGTGCATTACTGGTCCAGACTGCAGCCTGTCCTGATTCCCAAGACCCCTTGGCAAGTCTCCTCTCCCAGGATGTATCACTTTACCTCTCTAGGTTTAAAATAAAACAAGCAGAAGCCAACTCACTTCTTGCCTCCGCCACCCCTTTTGGGAGAAAAAAGAATCCAGACGCCAGGCTCAACTATGTGCTTGCTTGCTCCTGGACTGGTCGGTCTCAGGCCAAGAAGCCTGTGTGGGGTGTTTTGTTTTGTTGGTGCCAGCCGCACAGTTGGGTCTACTTCCACCGACGGCCTTTTTGTGCTGTAACTAAACCAGCACCTGCCATGGGGAGCCCAGGCTTGGACGGCAGAGGGACGGCTGCTGGAGTAGACTTGTGCTTTCTTGTTTTGGCTTCCTCCGCGATTCTGGGGGCTGACATTTGCTCCTGGCTAGGTTTTTCTTATGTGCGTGCACTAACCAAACGGGCCACCTTCACAGGAACACGCTTCCCAAGTGCTCTGATGCTGGGCTCTCTTTGGACCTTTCCATCATAGAGCGTCAGAAATTGCTCAGCTTGCCTATATCCTTCATGCCCGTGGAGGCTACCGGACCACAGTGCCCGATGAACTCAGGACGGCTGATGGAGCCTTGGGAGCAGGTGTGGTGAGAAGCACACTCCATGTTACAGAGTGTTTAAGCAAGAAGCCAACTGTTTGGCTGGTACAGAGGAATTTTTTCCTACGGAATGTCAGTGTGGACGGAGCGCTGGTGTGACTCTTGACATTGACAAAATCACTTCTCTCCTCTTGGGCAGGTGGATTTATTGGGAAACATTCACTGTCACCTGGTCCTGTGTACCAGGCTCTGTTGTGGGGGAAAGGGAACAGAGAAAATAACAAGATTTTCAGCTTAGACAACTGAGTAGCAGGTGAGAGCACAAGACGGGGAATGGTGTGCAGGCTCCCACTCAGTCCTGGAGAGGAGCCAGGCCTGTGGAGAGACGGACACGCAGCGAGAGTCAGAGGAGCTCTGGAACGTGGTGAGATTTTAAGACAGGCATGGCCTTCTGGGGACAGCATGAAGGTCCTTGTCAGCATGTTAACCACCCAGCCCTTTTGTCTTCTGGACCGAAAGTATGTCACTCACCGGTGACTGGCTGGGCGCTTAATGTGTTAATGGAAGGGTTAAGTAGCAGGTGGGATGTAGAGAGTAGGGCCATTTGGTGAAAGGCCCTGGCTATGCCCTTCAGTGATTACCATCTTCCAAAATGGTGAGCATTCTGGAGAGTCGATTTGGAAGGATTAGAGGCAGAAGGCAGAGGCTGTTGCAGATGCCCAGGTGAGGGACGGAGGAGGCTGGCTGAGGCCACACAGGGGAGCAGAGGCAGAAATGGTGTCTCTTCATAGGCCAGGTTCTCTCATGGACCGAGCAGAAAGGTAGGCTTGGCAGCACCCAGCCCCGGGCCAGGGAACCATGTCCAGGGGAGCAGGTGCCTGCCCAAGCATTTTTCCAGAGCCACTTGTCACTCGGTGACGGGACCCAAGATGGGGAAGGTGAAGCAGGAAGATGCTGACAAGGCAGAAGGGAGTGCAGGGGAAGGAGTTGGAACGTAGGAAGGGCCATCTCCATTGGGCCAGGAGTGGGGTTGCTCTCTTGGAAGTGTATCTTTTAGCAACCGGTAGACAGGTTTGCAGGCTGGTCAGTCAGCATCTTACTCTTTGCCTGAGTTTCTGCTCTGCTGGGCTCACCAGTCTAAGGGAATGACAGGTACTGGGCATTGGTTCACACAGGAACCTTGTGCTTTTTAAAAAGTGACATTTTTGGTCTCTTTGCCAGGACATGGGCTGGAGCTCATTTAATTCAGCATCTGTAGGACATGGTCTTCAGCCAATGGGAAGGTGTCGACTTGTTTTACAGGGTGCTTTAAGGAGGGAAAGAATGTGAAATGGTACAGTTACTGGAGGGTTTGCTGTGGGCCTCAGGTCTGTGTCTATCTTGGATTCATCCTGGACAGGTGGGCAGGGAGAGCTGAGGAGTCAGGGTGGGTGTCTGCCCTCTATTTCTGTCGCTCTTTGGGACATAGGGCTGGAGGCAGCTGTGGTTTGAGTCTTTAGGTCCGAGCTATGAAAGGTCACTGGTGCACTGATATGCTGATCCCATTAGCCTTTGGGGGTAGCCAGGTGTCTGACTACAAGAGGCCTTTTTGTTTACTCCCCTGGGCCACATGATATCGTCTCTTCTTTTAGTATCTCAGTTTGGAAACATATGGGAACACTGCTTTTAGACATGGTTTTGGAAAACTTTTTCTATAAAGGGTCAGACAATAAACCTGAGGTCTTGGGAACCATTCGCTGTTGGAGCTATGCAGCTCGGCCTTTGTAGCAAACGAGCCTGGCTGTGGCCCAACAAATCCTACTTACAACAGAGGCACTGGTTGCTTTTGGCTCTTACACTGTAGACACCCTTTGGTTTAATTCTGATAGGGAACTTCCTGCCCTCTGCTGGGACTTACCCAGCTTCCTACAAAGGCTTCCTGAACACCTGATCCGAGTGCGCACTGAGGACGAGGAGGGTGAGTCTTTGCCCCTGAGAATCGCAGGTTTTAGGTGAGAGGTGGGCAGTGACGGCTCCAGAGAGAAGGGCCAGGCTGAGTCAGGAGATCAGACTGTCCAGTCACCGGCGCGTTGGTGCAGCCTGTGAAGGACTGGGTGTTGGGCTTCATTCTGCAGGTGGTGGGGAGCCAGTCTGAAAGGTTGTGCTCAGGACCGTCAGGTGATCACAGATGCACTTTTGAAACATCACTCTGGTCGTGGTTTCCAACGCTATCTTTTAGTTTAGTATGGACATTTCAGCCCAGGGTTTGGTTACTGTCATCACCGGAGCAGGAAAGTGGCCCAGAGTTGCAGGGCGGTCCTGGCCACGGGCTTTAGTGGGCTAGAGTGGCACACTTCTCAATAGGCAGAGAATGAAAGTCTGTCCCAGTGCTGTGGTGTGTGGACAAAAGTATCTAGGGAAGCCCATCCCTTGCTTCAGATGGAGTTATGTGGCAAGAAAGCTTAAAGCTTCAAGAAGCTGATTCGCACCCACTGTGCATGTAGCTAGGCCTGCGACCAGCACAGAGAGGGTGGTGTCTGTACAAACTACTGCGGCAAGGTGCGTGTGTGCAGGTTGAAGCAAGTGCTGCTCAGGTGGATCACAGATGGCTCGAGGCCGAGGCACACTAGACCTGGTGCTCACTGTAGTTGGGGTGGCAGAGAAAACCCTAAATGTATATAGTGCTCTCTACTCCTAAAGTATTCTCCCTCAGAGAGGTTTCTAGGCAAGTAAATTGAACTGCCACCATTGCCCTTTAATGGGTACTGGAATGGGGGGTGCTTTATGTGTGGTGACAGGAGCTGTCATGAAAGGAGACCTAATAGCAGTGCCTGCAGATACTGTTTTATTGAATCCTCAACAGGCCTGTGGCAGTAGGTGAGGAGCCTCGGAGAGGGAGGTGGCTCTCCCAGTGCAGCCTGCAGACACACTGGTCCTCTGGCCAATCAGGTACACTTGTCAGTGGGTGGCCTTCCAGGCCCTGGGAGGGTGGTAGGATGTCTGGGTAGGAAACCACTGAACACTTGGGGAACTGGATGCTGGGAGTGCAATAATGCTTGGGGATGTGCCTCTTGAATTTTGCTGCCCGGTCTTATCTTTGAGCAGCACTCCTTGTGTTTTCTAAAGGCGTTTCTGGGCTCGTGGGAGAGAGAGGTGAGGCTCTCATCAGGCAGCTCAGCCTGTGCTGTGGTTCTGGAGTGTGAGGCCCACACCTCATTTTCCTGCTTAGGGAAGCAGATGGTGGTCAGAATGGTTTTTTTCCTGCCTAAATATTTCTGCTGTTCTGAGATGTCAGGTTTGTTTTGTTCATGGCAGTGAATTTAGGGCTAGCAGTTTAGAAGTATGCAGCCTCTTTCCCCCTCCTCTGGGCTGAGCACTGCTCCCATCCTCAAGAACTGGGTTCCTGCTGCCATAAACACCCCTCGGACTTAAGACAAGCACTTTGGTTTGGTGGGTCAGTAGCCAGACACCCTGACATGTTCTCTCACCTGACGAGCCACCACTAGACACATCCGTTTCCCTGGCCATGAAGGCTTGTACCACAACTTCGTGTAAGGGACCACGTGCATGGCCTGTTCCCTTGCTCACTTAATGTGGTTGTTTCTCAGCAGGGGGCCCTGCCATGGCTCTGTGGGAGGTGGAAACAACTTTTTGTGGAAACAACTGGGGAGCCAAACTGCAGGCATCCTCAAAGCCTCTAATCAGGGGTCCGTCCTTTCTGCATCTCCCCGGAATCCAGGCTGTCTTGTGAGCTATCTCCAATCTCCAGCCAGACTTCCTTTCCAGGGGCTTGAAATGGGATTCTCCTCCCTGCTTCTGTCCTTGTCTCTCTTCTAATGAGTCATGAGCCACCTTCCTTGGCAGATTTCAGCCCTTAGCAGTGTTCACTGTTTTCTCGGAACTCAGGCCTTGCATCAGGGGCATCTGTTGTTGGTCTGTTGTGAACCCTCGGTCTCTGTAAGGGGCTGGTTGGGTCCTAATGAGGGGGAGGGCACTTTGAGGAAAAGTGGGGCTGGGCTTGGTCCAGCCTATCAGCCTCACACCCTGCGCATCCTGGTCTGGCCTCTAAGACTTGCTTCTTGCCCACTCCATGCAGAACTCCTTGGGGAAAAGGCAGCCAGTCTAGACCTGAAGCTCTGGGCTGTTCTAGAAGAGGCTTGCTTGCCTCACAAAAGCAGTAAGGTGCTCAGCCCCAGGGGTGGGGGTCCTGGAGAAGACTGAGCAGTTACCACATGACACTGGGCTCCTGGCTGTAGTTTACTCTCACTCTGGTCTGGTGGTGGCCAAGGCAATTTTAGTAATCTTATTTAAAATACCTATTTATTGTGTGTGTAAATAGTATAATTTGCAGTGCAAAGCCCTTGGCAATAACTTTGTTGTGTATTATGTTAAAAAAAAACACTGAAAATCGCGAGCACCACGGATTGTCTTTCCCCTTGGGGCAGTGGTTACATGTAGGACTCTGAACTTGAACCCTTCGGCACAGCTGAAGCAGCAGCCTGCGTGTGTGGACTGTCAACAGTGCCTCGTCCAGAGATGCCTGCCCTTCATCCACAGGGACTCTGTGCCCACTGACTGTGTTGGACTCTGCATAGACTGACCCTCTCGTCTGGCTGCTGCAGTCTGCCGGAATGCCCTGACATGTTGCATTTTCCCCATTTGGATGAATAAAAATAAAAGCTTCTGTCTTAAGCAGGGCCTTCTCTGGTTAAACGAAGGTGCTTTGATAAAAAGGGCCAAGTGCACAACAAATTTCCTGGCACTTAGCAGAGAGAACCATGAACAGGAAGATCTTGCCACATGGACTGAACCAGAGTGCTAACAGTACAAAAACTTCACACAACCTCAAACTGTAACCCAGCTCTGTGAGTGGTGAGGTACGGATGCCAAATCCTAAACCTCAGCTGACCAGGTATGTTTCACATCCCTGGCTTAATCCTCATACCTGCTCCCCAGGACTGGACGTGCCCAAGGGAGTAGAGCTTCTAAATGGCAACAGCAATCGGAAGGCAAAGCTGAAGGTCTTCCTGCTGCTGCCCCGGGTAAGCCAAGAGCTGTGTGGAGAGGCACTGGGTGTTTCTGCTTCATCTTACAAACTAAAGGCCCGCCCTCTCCCCCGGCACTCCATCGGTTTGGGTTTGGATTTACAACCATGCTAGAACTGACGGGCCAGACCCCTGCTCCCACACTTTCTTGCTCTTGGGCCCTGAAAGATGGAGGTGACGGTACCTGGTAGAAATCCCAGCCTTTCACCTTTACTGTCAAATCTGCGAATAACATTACTTAACTCGGCAAAGCTTAGCAAGAGTTCGGTAACCCTGAGGAGACGGGCATTGAGCCCACTGCAGAGATAAGGAAAAGTTCACTGAAGTATGCTATCTGGAGGGACGTGCTCAGAGCTTATACCCCTGCTGCCCACTGGGAGTTAGAGACGTGAGTGTACATCCTAGCCATGTTGCCTGGGCCAGGAACCAATGTCTTCCTGACTCCTCTGCCCTTCCCCCTGGCATATCTCTGACCAAACGAAGCATTATAATCCACACATCCATTACACAGATGACCATACAGAGTCCCAGAGGCCAAGCAACTCCCCTGGGCCCCATGTCCTCTCTGTACAGACTCCGGTTTTCACCTCTGTTGGGGTATGGATTTTTCTCTCTTTCACTGAACCCTCTCTGCTCACTTGTGCCACTGGGACGTGGGCAGAATTCAGAGTGGATGGGGCAGCAGTACTCCTGGGAGACTAAGGCAAATGCCGCCTATCTTTCATTCTGAGCTGCCTCTCCCTCCCCCATGAGTTATTAACAAGGCTCCAGATCCGCTCAGCAGGGCCCACTAGCTGTCCACTCAGCCTGTCATGTATTTTCATACCTTGTGATTAGTCCCAAGGTCACCATCAAGGAAGAACCATGGCCACAGAACCAGGATCTGAGTTGACGAGCATGAAGCCTAATGGTCTTCCTACCACAGTTCCCTCCAACCACCACCTTTCCCCCACTTCCCTTCACAGCCAGGCTTAAAATGTACACTTTCTTCTCTGCTCCCTCCACCCCACCCCACCCTAAGCATCAATGACTCCCCAGTCATCCAATCCAATCAGCCTTTCCGGTCCTGCCATCACTCCCAGGTAGAGCTTGCTAGTTCTTTAGGCCCACAGCTGTGTCCCTGCTCCTTGTCCTTTCTCTTCCCCGCTGACCCTAATCCTGCCCTTGCTTAAGTGGAACATCCCCTGGGCACTTGCTGCCTTCCTAGCTTCACCTTACATGCCAGAACAAGATTGTCAACCAGGGGAACTCCTCCCCCTACCCTGGGCGCATATGGCAGTATCTGGAGACATTTTGGTTATGACAACTGGTGGTGGTAGGGTGTGCTATTGGTATCTAGTGAGCAGAGGCCAGGGATGCTGCTAACCTTCCTGTGACACACAGAACAGCCCCACAACAGAACTGCCAACAGCCTCTGCTGTGGTGGCACCGCCCACACAGTTCCTGATGTGTCGGTTCTGGACATCTCCAACTTCTATTTCCCAGGTGAGCTCCAATCCATACATTAAAAGCTCAATTTATCTTCCTGGTGTTTCCTCCCCTTTTTCTCATCAAGTTTTGACTTTCTGGGCTTATCACCTATCTTGAGACTAAATTTCTTTGAAAAGCAGGGATGGGGAACATCTGGCCTGCAGTCTTTGATCATGAGGCCCATGAAATCATTTGGTCTGGCCCTGCCAAGGCATTAGGGCAGTGATGGCGAACCTATGACATGCGTGTCAGAGGTGACACGCGAACTCATTCTTTTGGTTGATTTTTCTTTGTTAAATGGCATTTAAATATATAAAATAAACATCAAAAATATAAGTCTTTGTTTTACTATGGTTGCAAATATCAAAAAATGTCTATATTTGACACGGCACCAGAGTTAAGTTAGGGTTATTCAAAATGCTGGCACACCAAGCTCAAAAGGTTCGCCAACACTGCATTAGGGATTAATCAAATGTTTGACCAAATATAGCAGGCCAATTTTTAAGGTGTAATTTTCTATGGCCCTGGAATGATGTTATAAATATCCAAATGGCCCTTGCCACCTGGGCCTGGACCTACCTGCTGGCCCGGTCTCACCTCCCATCATGCTGTCTTCATCAGACCACAGTGCTCAACACTGTCTTCTTGCTCCAGAGTCCAGCACTTCCCCTCGCTGTCAGTGCAGGAAACTCCCCTTGCCAATGCATACCCCCTCCCTGTTCTCACAGGACCCCATACACCTGCTGCCGGTGCGGGTGGGTCTCACGTAACTAGGGGACCTCCCAGAAGAGGACTCCTTCTGAGGCACGTTAGGCCTCTGTGCCGAGGCGTACTGGTGTTTGGACTCCTTTGTCTGGGCCAGGGCATAGCTGCAGAGGTGAGGATTGCTACTGAATCCCTAATTCCTGGTCACTGAGACCCCTGGGAGTGGAAAAGCCGAGAAAAGGCTGTCCTGGATTCTTGCCCAGGGTGGCCAGGCGTGTGGAAATACACCCGCCGGCCTGTGAGAGGCAAAGGGAAAGAAACCACTATGCTCTGCCATGGCCCAGGCCCTTGCCCAGCTTCAGGGGGGCTCACTCACCACCTTCCCTTCTTTGTGGCCTGCATCTCAACCCACTTCCTCCAAAGCCTGGGTGTAGTAGCTGAGGTCCTGGAGGGCAGGCAGGCAGAGAGGGGAGCACTGTTCTTCTTCCTGCTGCAGAGAGGGGGTGGGGCGGTAAGGAAGGCAGGGTATGGGAGCCTCATCCCCTGGTGTGGGGTGGCTCCCAGTGAATAGAAAGCAACTTTTTCAAGCTGGCTGTCCATGCTACCCTTCTGAGTTGCAGCAGAGCAGACCTGGAACTCAGGTCATCTGCCTACCTTTCTGCTCTTCAGCTGTTTCTCCAGCACAATCACATTCTGGGCAGGAATTCACTCTTCCATCTCAGCCGGGTGAGATGCTTTTGTCTTTTAATTACACCCTTATGATTTCCCTAAACCTCGAACACACAAATAGTGCCTCGCCTATTTCTCAGCGGGGCAATGCTCACGATGAAGGCGGAGCCTGTGTCTTCTCACCCTATGGGCCTGACACCTCAGCTGCTTATAAAGGGTCTGAATGGAGGTATTTGACTTCTCTGATAGTGGGGGTTGGGGAGATGCTGCACGTGATAAAACTGGTTTTTACAAAGCAGTGCTGTTTGTACCAAAATATTTAATGAATATGCTGTTAAAATAAAACCAACGGAAGAAATAGTAATACAATTTTACTGGTTTATATTTCAATTCATAAAGTTAACACACTAAGACTACCCTAACACAATGTCCACGCACCTAGATTTAGACGGGCTTACAGCTGTTTTGGTAACTGAACAAGAAAGACACAAAGTGGTGGGGGGGGAGGTGGGAGGAGGGCTTGCCACTTGTTACCTCCACGTTAACACAGATGACCTCAGCAAGTGTCAGTACAGCCAATGGGCAATGGGAAAAGATACAAAACAACCCAAGTGTCTACATACAAACCAGCGCCTCTTGTAACCTACCACGCAGAGACGACGACGAACCATCTGCAAGACAGCCTGCCGGCACATCACTATAGAAATTAAAAGTCTGTGTTTGTTTGTTTAAAAAAAGGTGCTAAAACCTCCATTCCATAGTTTTGAAGCGAGAACTTGCAGCCCATTTAAACAGCGAGGTTTGCACCCAGCCACACTCCAGGGGAGGACACGGGCCAGCAGGATGGGGCCTGGGCGTCCCACATGTACATTTACACAGACACACACAGAGCTCAGTGTCCTCCTCACGTACACAATCTGTTGTGCAAAACACCTGGAATCTCGAAGTGAGGGAGCTTGTCACAATTCTCAGAACGGCAGGGAGGAGAGCAGAACCCAACAGACCTGGAGTGAAATTAAGTGCCCACATAACCACATAATTAAGTTGTGCAGATCAGTCCTAGTCTGGGATTTAAACACTGTCATTTGGGGGCATTGGGAAAAGATATTTTTTTATATATATACATATACACACATGACACATTGAGCAAAATAAGATTTGTCCACATTATGATTAATCCAGTCTCATGGTCACCTACCCCAGCCCTGTGAAGTCATTTTGGCAGCTAACACTAAAAAACAACAGGAACCATGAGAGTTGCATAGAATTGATCTGAGACGTGAAAAATGCCAAACCAAAACCTGTGCATCATATAGTTTAACAAAACTAGACTGCTTCACTGCACCCATGAAACCCTCCTCTTTAAAACAAAGTGCTTCTCCAATACCCAGAGGACCCTCTGCTGGCACTGACGCAGATAAGAATTACTGGAGTTCCTGATCCTCTGCCCCACCCCACCCAGCCACAGTATATATAACGTGTATTAAAAAAAAAAAAAAAAAAAGTTAAAGATTTAGAAAAAAAACCAACAGCCTGAAAGGGTTCCCCCCAAATCTGATCACGTCAGCTCAGCCTGTGGGCTGGGTGAGCCTGGGAGTCGCCCGGGAGTGATTTCCTAGAGCGTCCAGAGCAGCCGCTGGGCTAGCAGGCCTGTTAGTGTCAGTAGTTAGGAGAGCCTTACCCCAGAGGCGCCTGCTTCAGGAGCTCTGGGCCAATGACCTACCAATATGCTTCTAGGAATCTGACTTAGGTACATCTGGTCCTGGGACATGTCACAGAATCACACATCTGGCCAAAGAAGGC